AGTGTGCATGCAAACGTAGTGCACACGTAATGCACACACAGCGTAATGCACAAATCGGACGTGTTCATTTTTTATGCGTTTTGTGCGTACTTTTATCCGATCCACGTACTTCTATTTGAGGAACGCATTTTGAGAAACATAAATTTTACGTTTTCACGTTTCGAGGAACATTTTACATTTTCAGAGGAACACACATCTTGACACTATACATCTGGACAGCACTACGTTACAACATTACATTTAGTACATTACGTTTCAAGAAAACGTTGTAAGACATCATTTTGCATAGGAATTGCGTGAACACTGAACGCTCGTCCAATTCTCATGCACATTAATTTACCGCGCAGTGTTGCTGTTCCAGAAATGAAGACGCCAAAAATTCGGAGCAGTGTTACGTTTCGAGAAAATATTAACAAGGATGCGTTGTTGATGGAAAATTGTCGGGGGAAAAAATGACTAAATCAGTGATAACTGTTTTGATTTGTTGGCTGGCTGGTTCGAAAAATTGCGCTTACACTGAAGCAAAATGGCGGCTAAAGGGAAAAGCCCGGCGAAGGTGGGCGATGGAAAAAGCTGGCTGATGGACATCGATGGAACTTCGCAGGGATATTCTGTGCCCTCTTCTTATCTTACTTCGTGCGCGAAATCCTTTCCGACCAAATAGAAGTGCTTATCTTTTTTAAGGAGTTCGACGTGATTGCTCAGACATGAGAGAATAATGACAATGATTTTACACAGATACATAAATATACATTAACAGACACACATTTAGATTCATACAAATACATACCGACATAGGTACACATAGACGAAAGTACTTTATAAAATAAGGTAAATTTATAGCACTTTATAGCCCTCGCTTCCAGCGGCACAGGCACCAATGCTGCAGAACCCCGGACCTAAAGTTAAAACTGAAGCCTAAAGTAACTGACGTTTTTATTGCTATAGCTATTGCCATCTTATTTATAATTATTAATGCTTTTATTATTACTACGATAATGATGATGATGACGCTAATTATTATTACTATTATTATCATTATTATTATTATTACTACTGTAGTTCTTGCTGTTGCTATTATGCTGTTATTTATGCCGGCAATGGGGTGCGCGAGATGGTC